TAAGTATTTTTAAAAGCAAGTACTTACTTACTCTTACTCAAGTAAAAATGTTGATGTGGTATTTTTACTTTTACTAGAGTACATTTTTGTCTGTTTGTTTGTACTTTTACTTAAGTACAGTGTTTGAGTACTTTCTCCACCACTGCTCAAGCATCACTTTGTGGTACTTTATACAACGCTGAACCCCATAATGCAGGTGATGAGTCAGGTAATGTGAAGAAGAAAATTATTTAAAAAAAAAGTTATGTCAAGGCAGCTCAAAAACTCAGGGAAACTCTGCAAATACAAAGAAAACCACAATGGTAATACACATAACTAATGTTCTGCTGCTGGAATCACCGAGGGAAGGAAATATAAAGAGACTAATGACCACGATGACAGACACATGGGGGGCGGGACAATCAGGACCAGGTGAGAGTGGACAGAAACAAAACAGTAATAAGATAAACACTGTAACTAAGAACAAAACACAGATTCTCTCATCTTCTGCCAGATTACCTGAGGAAGATGATGAAAACTTATTTATTCATAAAACAACTTTTGATTCAGTTGTTCAGGTTTGTCTGTCCTCTTAAAGTCTCCAGTTTGAGTTCACATTTAGTTTAATTTCACTCTGTTTTTGGTTAAACCACAAAAATTAGAACTGATTTAATTGCATCTTAATGTTTTTACCTTTACATTGTTTTCTAATGACAATTATTATATTTTTTATTATATTTATTTCCACAAATATTTCATTAAAATTGAGCTTTTTCTTGTATATTTCTTGTATAAACATCTTCTATCACCTAAAATGCTGACTGGCTCAGATCACTTTCACTTTCTAACAGAATTTGACATCTTTGTTATTTAAAGACCATAACATTGTTTGGATCAATTACCTTAAGAAGTGGAAAATAAACATTTTTTTGTTTGTTTGTTTGTTTTTGTCTGTAGAAGATGAGGACTAAACAGAATAAAAGCCATAAAGAGACATCAACCATGACCTGTGAATGGAGATGATGTGAAACATTGTGCTTGCAGGTTGGGACGACAGATCAGTAAAGGTTTTGTGCAGCTTCCCTCTAAGAAGGAGGTACCAGAGTATTACGAGCTGATCCGAAAGCCCGTGGACTTCAGAAGGATCAGAGTATGTGTCACCGAATCTTCTCAGAACTCTCTTACACACACATACACACACACATACACACACATACACACACATCTCAATGATATCCCATCTGCTAACACAATATCAAATAAAGAAATGTTTAAATAATCTAACATTTAAAAAGTAGTCCTAATAGTCAACAACGAAAACCTGTTCTTGTAGCAAGACTGTTTATTTAAGTCAAACTTGGTTCTTTTCTGACATCTAAAACTGGCCAGTTTTTGATGAGGACTGAATGTGACTTTGGCAACGAAAATGCTTTTATTGTGAAATGTTTCAAGACAAGCCGCTGTTAGGAAAGGGCCCAGCGAAGCCTAAAAGAATACAGATCGCCCGCTGCCTTTCATGTCAGGTTGTTAAAAGAAAATCATCTCATGCTGAGAAAGGACGGAGTTACGGATGATTTGGCAGTCCCCTTAGAAAAAAGTAGTAAATGCAGGTATACATTAAGTATACTAATTCTAAAGTAGAACTAAAACTAAAAAAAGGTATACATCCAGTTGACTTTTTCTGTACTTATGAGCTATCCTTAACCAACTCCTTTGTGTTTGGAAGCGGGGGGTGGGGGTGGGGGGAGGACCAGGGAGGATGATTCAACCACCCAACCACTAGATGTCGCTGAAAACAACAAATCCTACACACTGTGCCTTTAGCTAAAAATGTACTTAAAAGATTACTTTCTGTATACTTCTGAGTATACTTTCATAAACTTATTGTGGGCCAACTCAGTCCTAGAAGTATTGCTAGCAAACTGCTAGTATACTTATATTAGTGTAAATGGCAAATAAAAGTACACTCAGGGAAATACACTTTTATATACTTTAGTATACTTAATGACATGTACTTAAAGTATACTTATTTTTTGGTAAGTTTATAAACTTAAAAAGATTTAACAATACACTTTAAAGTATACTTTTTATAAACTTAAGTCCCAATTTAATACAGATAAGTATTAAATTAGTAAACTTTCTAGTACACCACAAGTACATGGTCCAGTAAAAAAACTGAGTGTTAAATTTGCAGTGTTAAACTTTTCAGAGTTAATTTCAGCTCCCCACGTGTTATTTTAACACTTTCTGAGTAAACTGACATCATGTGTTAATTCACAGAGTTGATTTCATCAGTGTTGTCTCAACTCTGGACAGTGTTAAATAAGCTCCGCCCACTGTTAAGTCTTGATTAACACTTAACAGTGTCGTTATACAGTAGAACACAATGCAGTGTTGAAAGAAGTATTCTGAAAAGCCCCGCCCTCTTCCTCATGGACCAGAATTTTCTCAGCAAGGGATGCTGGGTAATCTTGTAGAAATGATGTGTTTGCATGTCTAAGACTATTAAAAATGTTCATGAGTGTAAAAATTTGTTTTTCTGGTTAGTTTTCTTGTTCAGATTGTTTGGTTTTTTAAGTTTAAGCTTTGTGTTATTTGCCATAAGTCGACACCATGAGTGAGAGGTACTTCCTGGTGTGTGAAGGGTCGCACTTTTGTGATGTTTGTTTTGCCAATTGACAACAAGTGTTAACGCAACACTTCAAGAGTTGATTTCAACTCTAAGATAGAGTGTAGAACTCTGTGTACTCTGACTCACACAGTGTAAAAAAGAAAACAAAAAATGTTAGTATTACACAATAAAGTGTACATTTTAAATAAAATGTAGTGTAAAGTTAGCTCCATAAAAATAGCAATATTACTCTATAGAGTGTTAATGAGTGATAGTGTTAAATAATTTTACTCAATTCATTGTTGATTTTGACACTAAAATGAGTAAAATAAACTCTGAAAAGTTTACACTGGCTATAGAGTACATTTTACTCTAATTTTGAGTGGGACCAAATATTATATGAAACAGAGTTAAATTAAACTCTGTAGGTGTTAAAATTACACTTCGTTTTTTACTGTGTATACTTGATAAACTTAAACTCAAGTATACTTATTAAAATGAACTTCAAGTATACTACTTTTTCTAAGGGGTACTACCAGTCTGGATCTCCTCTTCCTTCACCACAAGACTCAACCTCCTGCTTCATCCTCACATTTTCTCAGAATTCACCTATAAACTGTTGTGACGCCTGCGGGAGGAGTCCTCGCAAAATGACTGGTGATGGCAGTGGTTTGTGCCGTCTTCCACAACGACAATGCAAACATTTAGATAAAATAAGAGCTAAATAATACATACATGAACCGAGATGGAAGAATTGACTATAAAAACTACGTCTAAAATGTTTTAGTTTGTTTTGAAGCAGTGAGATCTCAATACAGTAGTTAGCTCCCAGTAACCACTGTCTAAAATTAACTATTATAACATTATTTAACTTAACGTTTCCAAAATATTCTCCAACTCTTAAATATACCCTCAGAATAACAACACTGTAACGTTGGCGTTGTTGGCAGGATCCACTAGGAGATCGACGGACCAAGGCCACATTGCAGGTGGACTGATATGAGTGAGCAAGGACTGGACTGCTCAGGACCGTGACTCCAGCTGGATGAAAAGAACCTTTTTATGGTAAATTGGTTTAACAAAAGTTTTTCAAAAATGCATCAAAACCTAGGTGAAAAAATATACTAAGCAAACTAAATCTAAGTGTATAGACAAAGATATAAACTTAAAGTGTACTAAGTATATTTGAAGTTGTTCCATTTTAATATTTAAAAGTATACTTAATACACTTAAAATAGTGCTTTTGTACAACTTAAATACAACAAAAGTATATTTAGTATTAAATTAGTTGTTCCAAAATAGCACTCTTTAAGTATACTGATGATTAGTGCGGCTTCAAGTATACTAAATTATATTTAGATTTAGTTTGCTAAGTATGATATTTTTTCACCTGGGTTTTGATGCATTTTTGAAAAACTTTTGTTAAACCAATTTACCATAAAAAGGTTCTTTTCATCCAGCTGGAGTCACGGTCCTGAGCAGTCTAGTCCTTGCTCACTCATATCAGTCCACCTGCAATGTGGCCTTGGTCCGTCGATCTCCTAGTGGATCCTGCCGACAACGCCAAAAATCTGTCGTGGCAAGTTTATCAAGAATGCAGAAACACGTTGGAATAAATGCACAGAAAGTCTGCGTGTATGGTCGTCAAATGATTTAATTCTTGAGCAACAAACAAACAGAAGTCAATCAGGAAGTCTGTCGGGTTTGTGGCTGCCTCGTCAGTGGAAACAGCCAATAATATAACATCATGTTAACACCATGTGACAGTTTACAACCAATCACAATCCGACAAATATAACTGCCTAACCAATCACAGGGCTCTCAGCCCAAAGAGTTAACTTATCAAACAAGAGAGGTCAATCTGTTGCTGGAGTCCTGACGTCTGGGGCAACAGATTAACAACCGACAGAAGTCATCATAAGAAATACGAGTACTGGACAGCATCAAGGTGAAACAGATACAAATAATTAGTCCATAACACTTTTTTCCTACGTTTTAGAATCTTTATGTGCATTTCTTGTAAATATGCTTCTGATGTGAATATTGTGAATGATATTTAGTGTTTTACATTATTTATGATGTTTGGATGAGTCAAAGTCAGAACCACTTCCTGTTTCAGATGCAGATTTTGGTTTCTTTGGACCTTTCTGTCTCCAACATCCATGCTTTGAGCAAAAAGTTGTTTTTGGTTGCAGGATTATTTTTCCTCTCATCTTCTGCTTCACAGGAGCGTGTGCGTAATCACAAATACAGAAGTGTTGGGGATTTGGAGAAAGATGTTTTCCTCCTCTGTCACAACGCTCAGACCTACAACCTGGAGGGATCTCAGGTGAATGAAGTTTCTGCACGCAGCAGCAGGTTTTCCACCGGCTCTGTTCGGCTGCTGGATGTGATTGTTTGTGTGCGTTTGTTGACCGCTGCAGATCTACGAGGACTCGATTGTCATTAAGTCTGTTTTCGAGAGCGCCAGGCGGAGAATCGTCACAGAAGAGGAGCAGAAAGAGGCGGTGAGCACCAGTCACAGCAACAACAGCGGTGATGCTGACGACCAGTTTGTTCCATCAGCAGGTGAGTGTTTGTACAAAACTGAGGCCAAGCTTCGCTTTGCTTTTAAAAGGGTCATCCCCAGGCAGAGTTGGAAAGTAACTAAGTACAGATACTTTGTTACTGTACATAAGTAGAAATTTTGGTTATCTGTACTTTACTTGAGTAATTATTTTTCAGCGTACTTTTTACTTTTACTCCTTACATTTTCACACAATTATCTGTACTTTCTACTCACTACATTTTTTAAAAA